TATTGAAAGTTTATTTCTATCATCTTTCAATTTAAGGTTGTGGTGTTATTGGCTGGAACAAATAATCACCACAGTTCTGCTGACCAACTTGTAGAGGGAATTGAGGCAATTGTTTGGAGTATCTCAAGCAAGTTACCCGCCGCTAAGATCATTGTCTTGGTGAGATAAATGTACAGGGATACCATCTTCATTAACTGTAAATTCACAGTCACCATAACCTTATTGACTATCCTAACTCAAACCACTTTACTTCTTAACCTAAAGTTCAGTTAATAAGCCTTGTTTACAGTCAACAATGTGGAAAACATAGATTCTCAGATCTAAAACTTTATGCAATCAAAAAACCTAGCATAATTGATTCAGGAGATCTCTAGGGTGTGGCATATTTATATACCCACAATTTTTTAGGTATGAATTACTTTCCAGAGATTTATTGATTTGAATAAGGTAAAAAATATATTTGTTAGTCATGCCCCCCATATTAAGCTAATACCTCACCACTGTCATGAATAACCTGGCATTAACTTAATATTTCCATGAAGAAATATCATTTGTCTGACTATCATAATCAAACAGAACAAGTCAAAGCATTACTTAATGAATGTTGTGGTATTTTCATTATGGTGTGTGAGTAGCTCTGGCTTTTAGTGCTAACACGTAGGGTTTAAATGACTTCAATAGATGAAATTTTCTCTGTTTCATAGATTTAATTCATGTTGTTATATAGACACGAGTGTTTTACTGGAAAATATACCACTTGTAAAATTCATAAAAACTACATCCGTGACCTGCTTGTTTTTTTTTCCATAATCTCACACGTGAGTTTATCGATGATGTAATTTTGGTCATTTCCCTCTATTATTTTATTGATGTCTTTTTGTCTATATAATAAAAAGAACGTTACACGGCGGCTTGAAGAAATGAATTTTATTTTCTCGTGGCAAAAACAATATTTTACTCACTCGCTGCGCTCGTTCGTAAAATACTGTTTTGCCACTTGAAAATAAAATTCATATCTTCGCGCTACCGTGTAATATCCTCTATTTTTTTTTTTGTTCATAGGGTCTCTTACCCCGAGGTAGGCAGCCCAATCGTCTTCGTGAAAAACACTTTCAAGTAAACCATGCCATCAAGGAAGTTGTCGAATCCATCCCTAACTCCCTATATCTCGATGCTGACCCAGGTTTTGTGAGAAGTGATGGTTCAATCAGCCATGAGGAAATGTTTGATTATCTGCATTTGACAAGAAAGGGATACAAGAAATTCTGTAAACGTATCTATGAGGTGGTTCTTAAGTTTGTCAAGTACCCTGGTGTTAACTCTTAACTTCAGTCGTTTTTAAAAGTGAAACATTTCAGTTATTCATATGTAGTAACATCTTGTAATTACTAATGTAATAACCTGATGATACTCAGGGAATTACTTGGGGAACACACAAGACACCTTCAGGGGGTTTCTTGGGAACAACAGGAAGAAATGCAAATTCTCAAGAACTCCGAGGAACTCATGAAAAAACAGTCAAGAGATTTTTATGGAACCTCTAGGATCACTATCCTGTTAACTACAAAGGTTTTTACAAGAAAATATTGGGAAATCCTCAGGTCAACCTAAGGACAGTTTCCATGGTGTTCTCAGGGCCCCTGGGGGATATATTAAGTCACTTAGAGTATGCCCGAGATCTAGAAGCTAGACGTTTTATATAATTACCATCATTGGATCCTGTGGCATATTTTTGTGCTTTTTATCCTGGCATAGGCTTCAAAGGCTTCACCATGAAAGCACCTTGGGATTCCCCTGAAATGCTTCTGTATTCCTCTCATGTCCCAGTGGCGGATCCAGGGGAGGGGCCCGGGGGGGGGCACCCCCCCCCCCTCCACCTTATTTTAAGAGGAAACTGAGGCTGTTAATCCTACGCCCCACAGCTGGCTGCAAGACAGTAGATGAAATCAATGATATCCAACACGAAGCGAGGTGCCAAGTGGAACTTCTTTGAATTTACAATTTCTCTGGTATTAAAAGCCTATATATCTGGATATATGGGAATTCAGCAGAACCTCATTAACACAACCCCTGTTGAGCAATGAAAAGATGGTTGTGTATGAGGGCTAGTCGTTATCGATTATCAATCTTTTGGTTTCACTCATAGACCAATTTTCGTAAGACCTTAAAATGAAAACGCGCGAACAAAACAGAAACAGCAAACCAACGGAAATAGAGCAATTTGATTGGTTTATTGAACGGATACAAACGCGCGTGGCTTTTGATTGGTTAAATGAACGCTAGGGTGGAAAAACTTCGTGCCCGAGAACATTCTAGAAATCAATCGATACCTCGCTTTGACGTCATACTGCAACACGATTGGCCAAGCGAGTAATGCCTTCTCCATGGTAGAGTTTTCTTTGGCGGGAAAACGAGGAGTCCATTTTCTGATCTTTTCATCTGTTGACTGATAAAACAAATAAGAAACACAACCCGAAACCATTTTTTAAGGTCATACAAAAATCGCTCTATCACTTGAATGCTTTCAATTACGCACGTAGACCTAAAGGTCTAGTATTAATTACAGCTAGCCAATGAATTGTTGGCTCGTTTGAATAAGCGCACTTGCAACAGTCAATCAATGTGACATAAATTATTGCCCTAGATATTTTAAAAGCCATTCATGTCGTACGGAATACGACAGAATTGTGCTTAAAATGGGTATTCAAGATATATATGAAAATATATCAGTGTTATTGCTGCAAATAGCACAGAAATCAGTGTTATAAAGCTACTCACTAGATTCAGTTTTAACTGTATATTTTTAATGAAAATTATCTATAGTGGAGCCTATGTTAAGCAAACTAACTACTTAAAAAATTTGAGGTCTTTGAGGAGAAAAGTGTGGGACTTACTGACGTCCTTGTTCACTAAATAAAGCGTGCCCACTGTATGCTGGTTTTCACTGTTTAACTCGCGGATGCGTGGTGGAACTCGTCGTGTTCGAGCCTTAATCATACTGCAGTGTTGTTTCCTTAGACAAGGAACGTTGCTTCATGCTGTTTATTATTGATTGCCGTGGTGAAGTTAGCCTAAGGGGGAGGGGAAGGGGAACTTTGCGCGCGCGAGGAGGTTCCCTTTTACCCCCTCCTCGGGCGCCCCTTGCGCTCTCGTGCTTAGCCTGCGTAAGATGGCGGTTTTGGTTGGGCGCGCAAACTAATCAAGGCGGGCGAGGGCAGAGAAACCGTGAACGCAGGCTATATCGTGCTTTTTCTATTCAGGGAGCTCAAAACTGGAATACAATTGAAGATTTTCGTGAAAAAAAAAGAGAAACATAGGGATATGGATATCATATTTTATGGTAAGACGTATGGATAAATATGTAAAATAAAATTTGACAGAATCGCAGTTCAGCAGTCGTTGATTCTGTTATAACATCTCAACATCTTTTGAAGAGCTGTAAGTTTTCCGACGTGGCCAACCTCGTCCCAGGGCTTTTCCAAGGAAAATGAGAGGGAAAAATCCTGGAAACGAGGCTGAGCCCTGATAATTTATGCCCTGGAAGTCAATTTCACATCTGGGCTACGGGTGGGAAATACTGCGGGCGCATCGAGGAGGCCGGTAAGTTCCGAAGGTGGCGTCGAAACTTTGTGTTTGCTAAAAAATTCTGATGATAACATTTGAGACCGAAGTTTTCTTAAATCCTTGTTTCGGACTTCTTTCCTTTCTGTATAGCTTTTAGTATCTGAATACCCGCAAAACGGAGAACTAATAGAGAAAGGCGGAGGGGAGAGGGGTGGGGGGTGGGTAAATGAGCGCACAGTAGGCCAGTACTGTTATGAGTTACCGGCGTAAAATGAGAACCCTTACATTTTTAAGGCATTTTATTTTTCACTGTCCAAGAAGAATGTCCCAGCCATCTCTTCGGCACTGTGCAGTGAAAAACTAAACCAGCAAAAAGTTTGATTTATTAACCGAAACGGTTCTTCAATATTGACATTAAAAGTCCCATCGCGGCGCGACACTATGTAACTGACTTTAAATTGTTGGAGGTATGAACCTATAACAACAACATGCGCTAAGTTTTCAACAATGGAATAAAGTGAAATAAAAAAAAAACTCCAATTATGTAAATGGACCGTGCAAAGCTATTGTAAAAGCTTTGGGGTGTCGTGGTATTTTATAGGAAACACCTGTTCGTTTTTCAAGACTGAGTATCTTTTCCCCAAAATGAATTTGGCTGTTTACAAAAGGAATTCTTGGCGAGAGACATTGAAAATATCTCAAAAAGAGGAAGGTTGTATATAATATGAAGTAGATGTTAACATTTTGTGATAAGCACGGTCACAAGGCAGTTGAAGAAGCAGTACATGACAACGCTGGAGTTAAACTGTGACAATGAAAAAAGACGGTAACCAGTAGATAAGTACCGCAAGGGCAATAGTTTAGTCTACCATACATGAAATAAAGGGTTTTAAAATTCAGATTTCCTCTCTAAAAGAACTTTATTATTAAAATAATTCTGATGATTTGTTTAAATCTTTTATCAGTATATTGTAAAAGGGCTGTAAAGTAATAAAAATAAGACGGTTGAATCTGCGCTACGATTGGTTACTGAACTTGATTTATAACGTTTTGAGATGAATTATTTAGTGCTATAAAGCTAATAGGCGGTTGTTTCTAACAATGAAATTACCGGCTCTAAGCTGTGCCAACATGGATAAAGTGGATCCAGAGAACTGCACAAAGCCGTCCAAGTTTGCAGCTATAAGGACAAAGTGGAACAAATACGCCAATAACGCAACTCTACATGGTCTGTCACATATTGTCTCCAGCAGAACGGTTCTGCGACGAGTCTTATGGTGTATATTTCTTTTAACGGGAATTGGGTACGTGTCTTATCAATGGACGTGGCTTGTCAGGAAATATCTTAGCTACCCAGTGAACTCAAAAGTAACCGTGGAATTCGAGTCAACCCTTGAATTTCCAGCCATAACAATCTGCAACTTTAACATGCTGAGACAGTCATTCGTCGATCAAGAGAATTTAGGAAATGTTGGCAAGTACGTGTTAAGTAACAAACTTCCCTGGTGGGAAGAAAAGACAGGCGAAATCGATTGGAAACGCTTTGAAAATGTCAGCACTTCGGCTACTTATTCCATGGCAGGACATCAAATTAAGGATATGGTTATGGAATGCTACTGGATTGGTGAAATGTGTAGCTTTCGCAATTTTACGCCTGTTTTGACCTCTATGGGGCTTTGCCACACATTTAATTCAGGTCAGTATGTTTGGTTTTGAAAACGTAGCTCGTATTTAAATAATTGTAGTTTACAAATGAATGTATAGGCAGCATATATTTTAAAGAAAGGAATCTTATACACCAAAAAAGATTTACTGTTTCCGAAAATCCAGCTACGCTTACGTTGAGCCAAGATAACATTTTATCCTCTTAGAGACAAAATTAAAGAAATTTGCTTTTTCTATTTAAATGAAAACGTATCCAACACAATGTTTTAGAGAAAACAAATATCGCGTTTCCACTCTTTAAACTACCGCGGTTTTTTTATACCCACACGATACCGTTTGGTGCTTGTATTCACCTTACAGTTGTGCAAATAGTTGTTTTGGTTTGTTCACGTTAATAAAAAGGTAGTGATAACAGCACTCCTGCCAGTACCATGGCTTCAGAGGATCGCTCTATAGGTATCTTGGTTTAAAAGAGCTTTTGAGAAAGGAGTTAAACTTGTTCCTCTGCTCGTTTTTGCTCAGTTAAGAATCCCTTCCCCTCCCTTCCCAAACACCTGCACGATGCTTTGTTGACGGACTCCATATATTCAGCGAGGATGTTAAGGAGGGGTGTATAAAGGCGGTTCTTTTTCGAAGAGGAGGGGGTGCTTATTTAATATTTTCACCATGAGGTCGATCTTATTTATTTTATAGAAGAGCGCATATTTGAAAGAAGCCGCTCATTTAAGCGTTACAATATTAATTTTTACCTAGTTTTTATTAGCCTGCAAAAACAGCCGTTTTCCCTCCCTCCTCTACGCTGGGGACGTTGCGAGAAACGTTCCGAGGAACGAGGAAAAACGGCTGTTTTCGCAGGCTAAGTTTTAGTCCGCATATTGCACGTCCAGTCCAAGGCCCAGTTGTTCATAGGTTTTCTTTTTCATTTCTTCAAAAGCATTTTCTAGCATAATTTTCACTATTCTTCAATAATACAGCATCCAATCACCAAGTAATAGATAAAAAGAGTTAAAGTAAATTTGCTTTTTAAGCTTTCATATCTGAATTTAAATTTCGCACTAACCCTGTCGGTTATTTAATAATCCAGCTTTGAACAACCCAGCCGAGTCCACTCTGCAAAACGCCGCTGTCACAGTCATATGGGCACCCCCGCGTTTTGGGCATCCCCATTGTATTGGCATACCCTGTGACTCTAACCCTAACCCTAACCCCAACCCTAACCCTAACCCTAACCCAAATCCCAAGGGTAATATGAGAAGGGTATGCCCATATCACTAGGGTTTTGGGAATGAAGAAGCCCAAAACGCCAATATTACCATTAGTATTTGCGTTAATATTAGTCTGTAACATATTAATATTGGCATTAATATTAGTCTGTAACACCGTCAGACAAATTTAATAATAAATTATCCTTGAAACATATAATCTCAGCCCACCTGCGATACACTAGTTCCAATTACGCATCACAGCAGGATTCACGACAAAAACGTATTAGGGCCGGTTTAAAAGCTTTAATGTTGACTTGCCGGTGCGATTTGAAGCTCCTTCGATTACAAAGCATATAATACTTCATGTGGAAAGATTCATTTTCTACGGCAATCGTCTTCTTAAAATTTTAAACTAGGTTTATCAATCACACTGCGAGGACAAAAACTAGGTAAAAACCTGTGCTTTGTCGGAAGGATTCTCTTTTAATTTTTTTTGCCAAAAATTGGCAAAAAGACGCTCCGCTTACATACAAATTAATTAAAGACCCCATAGCAATCAGGTAATGACAAAGAATAAATTGTAAGCGGAATTTATCTCCTAAAATTAAAAAAAAAGTGAAAGAAGAATATGTACATCCTAGCACAACAGCCAACCTCTTTTGAAAACGAGAGGGGAGGCCTGGTTGTTCTGCAACGGTTTTAAACCTTAAAACTCTTACAAGAGGCTCGCAAGGTAGACTAGAACTTCTTAAACGGGCAATCCCTTTTTTGGCCGAAGAGGTAGGGTATGTGCCTCTCAAGGTGATATAATTTTCCGAAGATTAATGGGGTGAACAAAGAGAACAGGATTTCTCTATTTAGCGTCTTGAGTAGGGTGTTTTTCTGGACTGGAAGCCTGAAACATGGCGGTGAGCAGTCTAAATGCGTAGTACCG